TCAACACAGACAGCATCGTCAGAAGGAAAATTGATAAAATAAATTACAAATGTTGTATTGTTCGATACATATGCGTACCGAACCGAAAGCACTGTATCGAACGGTTCAATATCGATACGAATATCGTTGCACCCCTACTGTTATTATATATCCCTGTTATTACGGCATCTGTGTGTGAGATCAGATACTAGATGACTTCATACAGGACCAAGAAAGAAATGCTTAAAGGGGATCTTTAGAAGAGTGTGAGCTACTGGTGCATGTACTGGTGCATGTACTGGTGCATGTACTGGTGCATGTACTGGTGCACATGTTGTACCAATGATAACATTAAGTGATATGTAAACATCAGTGTAATCACAGCTTCCTCGTCGTCTGTTGCTTCCTGTTTGTATTGTAGCATCTGAGCTGCGTTAGATAAACTTCACAGGTGCCTCCTCACTGTAACTATGACTGCAGGTCTTACTGGGAACCAGTGTGAATTCATAAAGTTAAATAAATCAAATAAATGAAGGATGATTGTGACTAAGGGCAACATATGACACATCATATGATAACCATGCAGTGAAGATCTGGTATTGTGATCTTCTAACGCTATCATGAACACTTTAACCAGGATATGAGGGAGGGAAGGAGGGAAAGCAGGAGCAGAAATATCCAGATAACATCTGTGTTTGCACTGAATGTTTTGCTGTGTAGAGTTGAATGAATAAACTCAGACGGGTCGCCGACACGCTGCAGTCTGCACAGACGAGCAGCTCCGCTGCAGTGCTCTTTGCAGCAGCTTGTTCCCAGCTGACCGTCCTGCAGCAGCTGCGTCACCGTGGAGGAATTTAAAGTGAATTTCTGCTTTTGCTGAGAAGAAAAATCCAATTTTTGCAGATTTATTACAGTTAATTGTGTATTATCACAAACAGATTGCATATAACTGCCAACTTGACTCCACTCAGTGGCAGACTGGCTGAACTTGTTGTCCACAGCCACAATGATTTTGGTGGAGCTGCATCTGAGACGCACCTCAGATTACTGCTTTTCTGCTTTTCACACAAACAAACTTTAGAAGCTCCCAGTCCTCGACCGTTTCTGCGGGTTCAGAGTGGACGTTTGCTCCAATTAGCCCGACTTCAGGGATGAACTTTCCTGCTGCGCGGCCCGACCGTGAGGCTGAGACATAAACTCAAACAAACAGATGCTGTGAGGAACTAAACGAGCTCAGCTCATTCGTTTCTACCTCACGCACATCTTACAGCCAGTTTAACAAACACTCGCTCTGCACCCTGCTAGCAGCCACAGCAGGAGGCAACTTTCATCTTTCATCTATCATGGCATGTGACAACAAGCGCGCACACACACACACACACACACATCAATTATTAGACATGTCAGAGTCCTGGCTGCAGAACTTTATTCAACCACAGTGCAGGGCAGCTAACACACACACACTCTTTCTAAAACTGCCTTTTGTCTCCGATGTGCAGTGAGTGTGTGTTTCATGGGTCTGCACTCGTGTCTGTGTGTGTTTGTGCACACAGAGGAGATGCGATCGTGCTCCACGTGCAGCAGCTCCACCTTCATATGGACCCAGGCGTGGCCTCGGTGCTGCACTCTGTCCGAGCCTCTGCTGGCGCTCCCTGCTCCAAAACCCACAGGAAGTGAATTTAAAGTTCATGTAAATACCAACGTTGTGTAAAAATAAGCTATACTTTGTCACGGTGAGAGATTTAGGTCCGATTCAGGTTTCATGAGTAACTCGTTTCTCCGTGGGACTGTGGCGCCCCCATAAATTCAGACAGAAGGAGGCGGGAGCGATGAGAGACACTGTGGGGGGCGCTCTCCACAATCACTCAATCCAAAACCCTCACACATGCAGAGCAGCACCGAGGCCACGCCTGGGTCCATATGAAGGTGGAGCTGCTGCACGTGGAGCACGATCGCATCTCCTCTGTGTGCACAAACACACACAGACACGAGAGCAGACCCATGAAACACACACTCACTGCACATCGGAGACAAAAGGCAGTTTTAGAAAGAGTGTGTGTGTTAGCTGCCCTGCACTGTGGTTGAATAAAGTTCTGCAGCCAGGACTCTGACATGTCTAATAATTGATGTGTGTGTGTGTGTGTGTTCGCGCTTGTTGTCACATGCCATGATAGATGAAAGATGAAAGTTGCCTCCTGCTGTGGCTGCTAGCAGGGTGCAGAGCGAGTGTTTGTTAAACTGGCTGTAAGATGTGCGTGAGGTAGAAACGAATGAGCTGAGCTCGTTTAGTTCCTCACAGCATCTGTTTGTTTGAGTTTATGTCTCAGCCTCACGGTCGGGCCGCGCAGCAGGAAAGTTCATCCCTGAAGTCGGGCTAATTGGAGCAAACGTCCACTCTGAACCCGCAGAAACGGTCGAGGACTGGGAGCTTCTAAAGTTTGTTTGTGTGAAAAGCAGAAAAGCAGTAATCTGAGGTGCGTCTCAGATGCAGCTCCACCAAAATCATTGTGGCTGTGGACAACAAGTTCAGCCAGTCTGCCACTGAGTGGAGTCAAGTTGGCAGTTATATGCAATCTGTTTGTGGTAATACACAATTAACTGTAATAAATCTGCAAAAATTGGATTTTTCTTCTCAGCAAAAGCAAAAATTCACTTTAAATTCCTCCACGGTGACGCAGCTGCTGCAGGACGGTCAGCTGGGAACAAGCTGCTGCAAAGAGCACTGCAGCGGAGCTGCTCGTCTGTGCAGACTGCAGCGTGTCGGCGACCCGTCTGAGTTTATTCATTCAACTCTACACAGCAAAACATTCAGTGCAAACACAGATGTTATCTGGATATTTCTGCTCCTGCTTTCCCTCCTTCCCTCCCTCATATCCTGGTTAAAGTGTTCATGATAGCGTTAGAAGATCACAATACCAGATCTTCACTGCATGGTTATCATATGATGTGTCATATGTTGCCCTTAGTCACAATCATCCTTCATTTATTTGATTTATTTAACTTTATGAATTCACACTGGTTCCCAGTAAGACCTGCAGTCATAGTTACAGTGAGGAGGCACCTGTGAAGTTTATCTAACGCAGCTCAGATGCTACAATACAAACAGGAAGCAACAGACGACGAGGAAGCTGTGATTACACTGATGTTTACATATCAGTTAATGTTATTATTGGTACAACATGTGCACCAGTACATGCACCAGTACATGCACCAGTACATGCACCAGTACATGCACAGACAGTACATGCACCAGTACATGCACCAGTACATGCACCAGTACATGCACCAGTACATGCACCAGTAGCTCACACTCTTCTAAAGATCCCCTTTAAGCATTTCTTTCTTGGTCCTGTATGAAGTCATCTAGTCTCTGATCTCACACACAGATGCCGTAATAACAGGGACATATAATAACAGGTATATATAATAACAGGGACATATAATAACAGGGACATATAATAACAGGATATATAATAACAGGTGATCATATAATAACAGGACATATAATAACAGGGACATATAATAACAGGGAATATAATAACAGGGATATATAATAACAGGACATATAATAACAGGGACATATAATAACAGAGATATATAATAACAGGGCATATAATAACAGGGACATATAATAACAGGATATATAATAACAGGTATATATAATAACAGGGACATATAATAACAGGTATATATAATAACAGGGACATATAATAACAGGGACATATAATAACAGGGACATATAATAACAGGGACATATAATAACAGGGACATATAATAACAGGTATATATAATAACAGGGACATATAATAACAGGGACAATACGGTTATATAATAACAGGTATATATAATAACAGGGACATATAATAACAGGTATATAATAACAGGTAATATAATAACAGGGACATATAATAACAGGTACTATATAATAACAGGGACATATAATAACAGGGACATATAATAACAGGGATATATAATAACAGGTATATATAATAACAGGGACATATAATAACAGGTATATATAATAACAGGGACATATAATAACAGGGACATATAATAACAGGGACTATATAATAACAGGGACATATAATAACAGGGACATATAATAACAGGTATATATAATAACAGGGACATATAATAACAGGGACATATAATAACAGGGACATATAATAACAGGGACATATAATAACAGGGACATATAATAACAGGGACATATAATAACAGGGATATATAATAACAGGGACATATAATAACAGGGATATATAATAACAGGGTTATATAATAACAGGGACATATAATAACAGGTATCATATAATAACAGGTATATATAATAACAGGGACATATAATAACAGGTGAATATAATAACAGGATATATAATAACAGGGACATATAATAACAGGGACTAATACGATATAATAACAGGGACATATAATAACAGGGACATATAATAACAGGTATATATAATAACAGGGACATATAATAACAGGGACATATAATAACAGGTATATATAATAACAGGTATATATAATAACAGGGACATATAATAACAGGTATATATAATAACAGGGATTATTAACAGTTCATACTGAAGCAACAGTTCTTACCACGTCCATGATCTGCAGCAGGCTGAAGCTGAAGTGGACGGTCAGGCTGTGGGAGTCATTGCTGACCGGCCGCTCTAACGGGTTGTAGTTCTTCATCAGCTCCTTGTAGAGACGCCGCTGGTACACGCCCTGCAGAGAGCCTGGAGGGAAACAGGAACGACT